CTGACCTGTGGCTGATACCTTGGAGCAGCAGACAAAACAGCCAGGCTGCGGGTATTAGACATGGCTGTTAGCAGGAGAAAGACCTCAGACTCTGGAGAAACACACATTCACGCTCCTTCTCCTTATCGCCCTGTCTCACTTTATCCGTTCTTATTTAAGGGTGACCGCCTCACACTCATCTCCTCTTCCCCTGGTCGACTCTTACTTTTGAGTCTTGTATGATTGGCACGTGTTCAGATTGATTTCAAGGCTGTGCTTTAGTTGATTTACTTTTGGCTCCTTCACTCACAGCAGTAGATGTGGTAAATTCTCTGTTGGAAGCAGGATAACGTGAGTTCCCACGCTTGTAAGAGCTGCGCTGACGCCGGCGTTCAGCCATTTTACTGCCCCTCCATTCAGACCAACAGGATAAACTGACCACTAACCCTGCTTTAAATAGAGCCGAGTCTCTTAGCACCAGGATGTTAGGTCATTGATGACATCAGTTCCAGTTTTATTAATGAGCTACGGCTCGCACACACACATGCATGCACACAGTCTGTATAACTTAAAGCACTATGCTGAAGAATCTTAAAGACCCCCCTCTGGTGAAAATTAACTTTTTTGGCTTGTTAACACGTTTATATGGTGGTTTTTTTTATATGCTGGAAGACACATCATGAGCACAATAATCAGTCGACAACATGGCGGAACATTCTCAGACTTCAGGGGTTTCATAGGTAGCAAACCTCAGCTTGCAGGGTGGGACTTTCTGTGTCAGTAGTCTTCTTCAGGATCAGTTTCTGGATTATCAGAATCAGAATCAGAAGCTTTTTTATTGCCAAGCGAGCTCGCACACACAGAAATTCTAAATAAAATATTTAAAAGAAAGGTATAGAAATACTACGTAAACAAAAAGTACTATGAAAAGAGACATAAACCAAGTGATAAATTAGGAAACAGTTTAAATGACAATACAATATTGCACGTGATTATACATGTTTGGCTGAATTACTCCAATATTACAACTTGTGTAGGGCAACGGTTCTCAAACTGGGGGTTGGGACCTCCGTGGGGGTTCCAAGATAATTTCAGGGAGTCGCCAGATCATTGTAAAAAATAAAATAAAATAAAAATAAAGCCTACATTTATCAAATAAATTTTTAGTAGGGCTGTCAAAATTAAAAGTGTATACTTCTTCCCACTCCTTTTTCAAACGTGTTAATATTCTGATTTGATTATGCGATATTGTTATTCTTTTTTGCTCTTTTTTAAATGATTTTGTTTTGTTTTTATATATTTTTTTCCCTTTCATTTGTTTGAAATAAATTCAATTCATCGATTCATTTAAAAGTTAATGTTAATGTAAAGAGATTAATCTGTGTGATCAACGTATTATTTTTTTAACGCATTAATGCACGAACAACAAAATTATTAGTCATGCCAGATTAAAAATTCAAACTGGGGGGTCACAAGGACAAACTTATGGTATCTTAGGCGTTGTGGCTTAAGAAGTTTGAGAACCTTTGGTGTAGGGCACAGTAGTTTTTAATGTTTTAGAAGAGTCTTAAGTGAACTGGTGTGCTTGAGCTGCGGCAAGGGAGTTGTGAGATACATCAAATACATTTCAAGATATGGAGGGATTAGTTTAATGGGGAAATAAAGCTTCTAAATATTTAACCCTGACACACAGTTTAGATTTTTAGGGGTTTAATCAATGACTAGAGGGGGACTGACTTTAAGATTGTAGGTATTTGTTCCTTGGCTGAAGGATACACAGCTGCTAACAATGTGGGTGCTGAACCAGGCACAGGTTTTGTCAGAGCTTTAAATGAACTGATGATGTGGTAGTCACATTTCCTTCATGTTGGTATCCTTCAGCTCATAGTTAGAGATAAATGGACCTGGTGAGGTGGGATTTGTATTCTCTGCATTTTAGTCAATTCCAGAACAAAACTGGAACTTTAGTTGACAGATCTGAAGTAACGCCACCTTTATCTCACCCGTCCTTCACCTTTTATGACCGTGCAGCCTCAAGGTCTGCAAGGGTCAGCATGACGTACATTTAATTAGCTGGAAAAACAATAATAGACACACCTGTAAGTTCTACCTTTGGACTCAAAAAACAGCCCAACCTCTTCAGTCAGTAAACACAACCCTTTCTGAGATAGTGCCATGCCAACGATCAGTTTCTCTGTTAACAAATGTTTTAATTATGACTAAATCCAGAACAATAAATCTTATAATTCTTTGGCAACAAATGATTCCTGTAGGTTGCTTTTCAAAGATTCACAGCTTTCAGATTCTTTTTTTCTTTTTATGTGACTATAAATGTGAACAGGGACTATCTAAACACAAAAACTAAACATTTTGTCGTGAAACTGTAATATACAGCTTTAATATTATCTAATATTTTAGGGATCAAATCAGTTGAATACGTCAGAAAATAATCAATCGTTGCAGCTGAGATTACACTTAAGAAGCACCATGCTATTCAAATAATGGTGCATTTTATTTTGATTTGTGCTTGTTGTTGTAGAATGTTCAATCACGTAGATGCAAGGGTGTTAAAAATTCACAATTACATCAATCATAACCGTGAAGCAGTTTTAGTGTTATTCTGTAGAGGCACTTCTAGATGCCGTCCCCATCTTTAAGTTGACTCCCCTTCTGAAAACCTACAGGATAGAAAGACAATCTACTTTCTGTTTAATTTAAAGGAACGTCAATTTCCATACTCTCTATTTAATATAATAACTGTGTTCCCCGCCTCCTCACTCCAGTCACCTTCGCCTTCCCTGCCTCATAGAGAAGAAGTGGCTATGCTTTACGACAGGCAGTCAGACTGAGACCCACCACTAAGAAAAGCCTTCTTCTCTCTTTACGGCCTCATAAATATATTGTTATCTGTGCCTGGGAAGTCCGCGCTGAGATTTATCCACACGATTAGTGGAGATAGCGAGCCAAGCATCCTGAATCATTAATTACACAAGAGCCTGCACTACATCCACCTTAATTTCCTATATCTGCTCTGTGGAAGAGACACTTTTAAGTAGGTGATGAGGCATAGGAGTTAATTATATGTCGCTTAGGTGCATTTTTTTTTTTCCTTCTTCTTTAAAGCACTGGGATGCTGGCGCTGCGGTGAAGTTCTGGAGATTTGGAAGTAGTCCATGTCATGAGAGGATCTATACTCTGACATTAAAAAGCAGTGTTTTTAATGCATTAAAACACCAGGACCATAAGTGTCAATAAAATGTGCAGGATTTTATAGACTCTTAAAAGGCATCAAAACAACATAAATACAAGTCATTTTAGTTAGTCCAGCAGAAGCAGAAGCAACATGAGCGAATCCAAGCTGCAGAAATCTGCTTCTTAGTCTCCATCTAAATCCGTAAATCCACTGGGTTCAGAACCAACACAGAGAATGTCTTCAGGATTAAAGGCAAGAGAAATGTGTTTATGTCACACCTGTAAGCCAGAGCTGCAACAACTGACCAATCAGTGGAGCAGTTATTAAAATAATCCCAACTATTGAGATAAGTTATCTGTCTGTGAGTCATTTTTTGAATTAAAAAAAACTGAATTCTCAGGTTCCAGCTTCTTACAATTTAATGTTTTCTGGTTTCTTTACTCATCTATGACAGTAAACTGCGAATTTTTTTCCATTGTGCACAAAACAAGACATTTCAGGATGTCGTCTTGGGCTTTAGGAAACACTGACTGACATTTTTTCCCCCTTTTTCTGACATGTTAAAGACCAAAACTCTAATCGGTGAATCGAGAAAATAATGGACAGGTTAATCCACAGCTGCAGCCCTCCTTTCAACACAATGAAATACCAAATGCCTTGGATGACACAAATCGATATTAGTACAAGATGTAAAGGACAGTCTAACAAGACACACGAAAAAGGTTTTATAAAGAGAAAAAAAAAAGCTAAAATAGAATAAGACGGTTAAACAGGAGAATAAAAACTACAGTGCAGAACAGGACATGAATAATTCATTCCCGACTTAATTTAATAACATGCAGCGGCAAACAGAAGGTCTCAATCCCTAATTTAACAGAACTAATACACGAAGCAGATCTGAAGTTTTCTGGGAGTTTGTTCCAGACACGTGGAGTATGAAAACTGCTGCGTTTCTGTGTTTAGTCTTATGTCTGGGGACAGTAAACAGATCTGTCTGAGATATTCTTAGAGGTCTGGAACGTTCATAACTTAGCTCTGATCAGAAGTGGCCCTTAATCATTCAGTGCTTTGTAAATGAACACGGTCTGAACTCGTTTGCTCACCCTTTGATCAGTGCAGCAAAGTGAATCTTCTTTGCCATCAAAGCAGATTCTAGGCGGAAATTATCACGATTTATTGATCTAATTGTGGTGTCAGCTGAGAATTAGCAATTTGAACCTGAAGGATGTTTACTTGTAGCTCCAGCATGTCGTCAACAATGTACAGCGGACAGAAGATGAACATAAGTTGGTGCAAGAACGATGTAGGTGCTGTGAAATGTGGTCCCTTAGCTCTACGAATCTGCCATACTGTCGCCTTTATGTCAATAGTTGCACAGAAAAAACAAGAAACATGTTGATCAAATCGATTTTTTTCCTTCAAGATAGCAAGACCTGTATATCCTCTTTTATCATTTTCCATGTCTGTTGCTTAAATCCATAATAGTTCATGAAAGCTGTAAAACCAATGTACCAAAAAACTGCATCAGGCCACAAAAAGATGCCAAAAAGTTTTATAAAAATCTAATTTTCTTTGCTGTGTTAAGGTAAAAGCCCATCTAATCAAAGTGCTCAGACCACCAGGTGGTGCTGTGAACTAAATACCCCGAGGTCAGATGGCAGCTAGAAAAGTGTTTGACAGCCAGAGGAGAGTGATTGTCAAGAATGTTCTATGTCTAATCTGAATTGTGAGGTGTTTTCCGGTGCATTCAGGCTGCCAGCTTCCATCGCAGACCTCCTGACGGTTGTTTAAAATATCGTCACTGACGAGCGCTTGTAATGTTTTGCAGGATCACGGACCAGCGGTATGAGAAGTTGCCATATTTTGTGTTTGGGGACTTTAACTTCAGGTTGGACTCGAAGCAAGTTATTGAGGTGAGTGTTTTTTTGTGTACAACATGCGCACAGCTGTAAGCTTATGTACATATGTGGTTAAGTACTATCAAATTTATGCTAATTATAAAGCATGTGTGCACGCGCTTGTGTTGGTGTGTATTGGAGTGCGACGGCAATATAGTAAAAGTGGTTTTAGTAGCCCACTGTCTCTTTAGAGTTATGACTCATTAAAAGCTTCACTGTGGCTGGCCCAGCTGTGTTTGCCAACTGAGCCTCCAAGTGCATTGTTATGTTATGGTGCCATTCACTGCTCTTTCTCTCTCCCTTCCTCTCGGACTCCCTCCCCTCTTTCTTCCTCCTTCTCTTGGTGCAAATGAGGCCAGTGTGAGCGAAGGTAGTGCAGTCATTCAGCATTCTCAACGAGGAGATGGGGGGTTTAGTGGCATAACAAGTCATAAAAGCCCGTGCAGACAGTGATGTCCTATGATAACAGAGTGGGAGAGACACTTGTTGGCCGATCCTCTCCAGCACAATGGTCCTCGAATCAGTGGGCCTGTTCTAGGTGTGGGCATTGTTCGTTTCAACCAGAGCCCCATTCAGGAGAGAGGGAAGAGGAGGGAAAGCTTTCTGAATGGAGGGCTCAAATGCTCAAATGACTTAGGAAGGACTTCACTCTGTGTGGCGCACAAGAAGAAAGCTTTTGTAGTTTAGCCGTCCGGCCACAAGGGAGGCAGTAAATCACCATCTCCTCTACGTAGAAGGAGCAGCTAAGAGGGATGCTCATCACATGTTTTTACTTAGCAATCTATCAGGAGCATTGATTAATTGCCTCAAAGTTTGTGCAGGACATTTGATTTTGGCGCTGTAATTGGATCACATTAACCCGGTGGTCATGTGAGCATGCATTGCTTTGGAGATAATAAATACAAGACGAGAATTTGCAAGAGCAGATGCGCAAACACTGAGACTATTCAGAAGTCAGTCTCTGCAATTAAATGTCACCTGGCACACATTTAGGCGACTGCGTTGGTTATATATCAGTGGTAGACTGTTTAATATCTTAACAGCACAGCAGTGATAAGACACCTTGTTCTGTGCTTTAAAATATATAAGAAAACGGCATTATCCATGCCAATATTGGCAGGGAATTTGTATCCATTAAGCTAAAGAGCTAAAACAACATCAGATGAGATGATTCAGAGCCTATCTGTGTTTACGCTGTCCAGCTAATCTAGATAACTCTGTGCTCATGTTCCTGTCGTGTCCCTGCTGCTCTGTGGTAGGTCAGCTCTCACCCTCTCCATGTCTCTACCACTCTGAAATGCTGTTTGAGTGCAGCGGGGGTCACGACCCCTTTTCCAGGGATGTGTTAGGCTTGCATCGGTGTGTGTCCATCTCTGCCCCCTCTCCGCTCCTTTCTTATGCACCTTGGCCCCATTCCCTTACACATTCACATCCAGAGCGAACACACAAATACACACACAAACCAATTTGTTAGGCCAAATGAATCTGATTGATACACCCCGTTTAGAGGGGTGTGGCAGCAGTGCAGGGGGGCCTTTTTAGACTGCCCTCTCAGGAAGTTAGAGCTGCGGGCTCAAGCATAAACCACACTCACCTAGACGTTTTAACTCCAGCTTAATGAAGGTTCCTCAAACGTGCCGACCGTTTGATGGGGACAACAAAAACGGCTGGTGATGTCATCTGTGCGAAATGTGTTATTAAAGGGGCAGCGCTGCTTCATATAAACCTGTCCTGCGCTTTGGTCAACCTGCCTGATTTAACAGTGACCTGTGTGTTAGCGGCAAAGAGAGCTGTGATGTCACCAATAAACAAATGGGTTGCAACCTTGGCGCAGGATGTAACTCACAGCCGGCAGGCCGTTTTAAGCCCTTTAATGACAATTAATGTCAACAGGACAATTAGTGCACATCTACTGAAGTGCTTAACTGTAGATGGGCTGGTGGTGGATCGATCGTCCATACTTATCCGAAGATTGATTCAGACACAGAGAGGCCGGCTCTCTTTCTCACTGCCTGAGAGTCTCATTTATTTTTTTTCCTTTTCTTACAATTGTCTAAATTGATAGAAATGGGCCCAAAATGCTATACAGAAGAATTTTGCTCTGCTAAGTGGGTGAAATAGTCATAAAATTAAACTACTTGCCTTTTTGATTTGTTGAACACCAGGGACAACTCTCAAGCACCCATGGGGCTCCCTAGGCCTCACTTTGAGAATCACTGGATCAGAAAATACTCCAGTACATTTCTCTACAGCTGCACGCTACACCACTTCTCTTCTTCTCTGTCTTCAGTCCATTGTGGGTGACTAGACTGTGGACAACCACTAGCCACTCCCATGTCACCCATCCTGCCTTGTGGGTGGGTGGATGGGACAGAGGGTATTTTAGGATGTATCCGTGTGTGCACAGAAAAGGAGGTGGGTTCGGAAGAGAGTGGGTTTGTTATTGTGGCAGGCCAAATTCCAGGTGGCAAATTCCTGGCATGCTTGTGCGGCAGGATCAGTAACCAAAGGCCTGCGGCTGCCCCCCTTCTGCCCAGCCCGGGCAACCCCATTAATTGTGTCCGACAGAGGGAATTGGTTTCAATTGACCCCCATTCAGCGGCCCTTTGACTGGCAGACAAAAGACACAGCCACGTGGAGACTAATGCTAGGGCTGAGCAGCCTGGAGGTGGTCCAGTCCCCACCAACCTTCTCCCTCCTCTCCCATGGGTCTGATCATGCTTTGGCTTGATCATGCTTTGCATCAGTGCTGATAAAACAGGAAACCTCAAAGGAGGGGTTTTTGAAGATTTGGCCTGGTAAATCATACATACAATACTTCACAGCCCACTTATCTTGTATGCGCGATGTCTTTTAATCAAGGTTTAATTGAACGCTCGTTTTTGAGCCACATTCAAGTCAGTCGTGATAAGCACACTAGAGATGCTGCCCATGTTACACACTAGCAAATACATTCAGACCCCAACGTGTTGCAGCTGAGATCTGATTGTCAAGTTTTCAAGGAAGACCCTGTGTTGGCATCTTAAAGGCCACCTGTGTGCTTTAGACGGAGAAGGATTTTGTGTTGTGAATTTATCTGTGGATCTAAACCCATGTTCAGACCATGTTTTCTAACAAATATGTCGGGCTCAGAGAAACACCAGATCTTGATTGTTTAAGCAATCGTTTAATAGCACTGCTAAACAACCAAACTTTGTGTAATTCCATAAGTGACACAGGCAGCCAACAGTGCTTTATTCGCAGCAGATTTATTAGGGACAATCTAATGTAGCTAGGATTTTATTTTATTTTATTTTATTTTAGTACATCTTTTAAAATTAGAATGCAGCTTACTGCCTTGTAATAATCTTAACAGGCAGAAAGAATTCTGTACAAGCAGGATATTAGTTGGACCAAAACTCACTAGGGGTTGACTTATTGGTTTGGCAGTTCATTAGATATATTATTCTGCATTTTCTTTATATCCCTCTTTTTTTTTGGTAACTGATTCCTAATCAAATAAGTTAATTTTAAAACGTTCTCCACTGGCTGCAGCTGCGTGTCTTTATTCGTAGTCACCGCTCTGTGATGTCGAGCAGTATGCCGCCCACAGCACTGTACGACTGGTTTCACATCACAAGAGAACTTTTCCACAATAAAGGATAAATGTTGAAAAGTTCTCTTGTAATTAAACACATGTAAAACCTAAATAAACTAAGTTATTTCAAGAAAGCTTTGTGGAGGAGTTTGTGGCATTTGGAATTTTGACTCTAAGATTTTCGTTTTTACTGTAAATGTAAATCTACTGAGTAAATTCATCTTTCTTTTTAGTTATTTTGATTTTTATTTACACCTTTGGCAATTTTGTTAATGTGACATTCATGCCAATTTAAGCATGTTGAATTGTATATCAGTTCCAAGTATTTCCAAAAATGTCCAAAAATCTTTTGAACTGATATTGGTGTTCACCCTGAAAAAAAAAACAAAACACACACACACACACACACACACACACACACATTGGTCAATCCGAATGACTAACAATAGCTTTTTCTATTGATCAATTTACAGTTGATTTTCTCGATGAGTCAGCGAACCATTTAGTCACTAAAATGCCCAAAATAAATAGTCAGAGATGTCTGTTAAAACTGCTCTGAGCCCAGGGTGATGTCTCTAGTGTCTTGTTTGGTTCGACCCACAGTCCAAAACACAAAGATATTCAGTTTACCATTTACTATTGATCAACCAGCTGCTGCAGCTTCAGATGGAGGTCAGTGCTTCAGGGCTGCAATGGGATTAGGATCCCATACATACAATAATACTCCAACAGAAATGGACTGTGCAGTAAGCATCATCATTATGAGATGGGTCTTGGATAAAATTTCAAGCAGATATTTGAGAGGCTGTTGTTGTTATTGATCCACGTTTGTACACGCTTTGAGTTCCCGCTGCCTCGTACTGAATTGAAGCAGGTTTTTTTTGTTGTTGTTGTCTTACAAAGGCATTTAATAATCCTTTTTCCAGTTTATACCTTAAGGTGAACTTTAACCACTGCACTGTGATGGGGCAGACAGATATACCCCCAAGCATTGCTGTGGCTAGAATTGATGAGCGTTTCAGCTGAAGTGGGCAGTAATGATCAGAAATGCTGCCAGATGAGATGGGTGACTGAAGCCAATATGTGTCATGTTTAAAGCAGCAATAAGGGTACCTTAGCTGCGCTTTTGTAACCCCTTAAAAACCTTATTATAGAAACCCATGTTCAGTCTTTCAAACCACAGCTAAGCAGTGCCAACCCCTACACTGTGATCTCAGTCAGGAAGCCGCGTCACATAACCCTAGTTGACCTGTTCACACCTACTACAAACACAGGTTTTGCTTGGTTTTCTACGCTTCAGTCAGAAAGTGGTAAAAGGTGCACAGTGGCATGTGTTACAGTGTGTGTGTGTGTGTGTATGTGTGTCCCTGGAGGTGGCCTGTGGCCGTGAATCAGCAGTGTCGATGACAGGCTCAGGGCTCTGTGCCTGGACTCCTAG